CATGAAAAAAATGTAAATAAGCTTTACAACTACTTTCATAAAAGAAAATGTTGGGGCTGGGGTGGTAGTTCAGTGGTAGAGCACCTGCCTAGCATGTGTAAAGCACTGGGTTTGATTCTTAGCACCACATAAAAATAAAAGTCCATCAACAACTAAAAATATATTTTCAAAAGGGAAATGTTTACACCATAATACTTGCCTATGTGCCTGAGTGACAAGTTTATCAATCATTTATTCTCTGTGTAGCACACATAAAATATGAATAAGCTATAAAATTGTTTAATGATTATTTGCATAAAATGTAATGATTATTTGCATAAAAGATCAGAAAGCATCAAAAAAATTATCCACATACAACCCTGCAAATTTTTGTCATATGAAATATTATCTTATATCTATTTTTTAAGTAAATTGGTAAAGAATTCCCTAAAATTCCAATTTCCCATTTCAAAGTAGAAGACAGCCAATTCAATAAATAATGAACTCATACAATCATCAAGTTAGTTTACAACATTGAAGTTATTTTTACTTCTATAAATTTACTGTAACTATTCTAAAATTATACTACTAACTTCAAAACTACCACTTTACAAACAAACATACAAACTATAATCAACAGTTTAGAAAACATAGGAGATAAAAACATTGTCTTTCAAATCATACTGCCTATAACTGGAAAATATTATTATTAAATTTAAAAAGTTATCTATGGTCTTAAGGTGCTTTTATCCCCATTCTCCAGTACTCTTCAGCTTAATCCCCTCTTCCTCCCTCCTTTTCTACTTATTTCTTCCTTTAAGCCATAGGTATCAAAAGCAAGGAATGCTATCAAATAAAAACAACATATCTGACTTTGAACTGTCAGTTTTGTTACTGTTGTGATACTGTTATGAACAAAACATTAACTGTACCAATATAAAAGTAAAATGAACCATAACTAGGAATAAATGAAATCAATGGAAATGAGGCATTCGTTAAAATCTTGGCTGCTTTTTTTTTTTTTTTGGTAGTTGTAGATGGACAGCATGCTTTTATTTTATTTATTTATATTTTTATGTGGTGCTAAGGATTGAACCTAGAACCTTGCACATGCTAGGCAAGTGCTTTGCCACTGAGTTACAGCCCCAGCCCCAGCTGACTCAATTTTTAAAAGTAACCAATTATCAGCATAAACTCAAGAGTATCTAGGTAGTACTTGCATAAATATAAATAACAAACACAAATATTTAGTACACAATACACAGTATTTAACTATACTGTTCTCCTGCTGCAATTACTTTAAAAATTTAAAGACCTAATATTTTTCAAATTATTAAAATCAAACTAAAAATGATATATAAGGCAAATCTAAATTACCAAATTTAACCCAAACAATAATCCCTTGCAGATTCCATCAGATATCAATATTAATAATAATAACAATGTTCTAAAAATCAAATTGAGACAAATTCACAATCTGGAAATTTCCTTAATCTAAATTGTTTTCTATATAATGTTAGGTAATGCAAATAACATAGATGATTTCCCAAAAATGTAATCAATTTATACATGAAGTATGGCTCATTTATTTTATTTTATTTTATTTTATTTTGTATTTCTTTTGCTCTTTTTGCACTTTATTTTATTTTTAAATTAAATTTATTTTAACTGATATATAAAAACATACAATTGTACACGTTAATGGACACCATGTTTTGATACATATATATATTGTATAAAGGCTTTTGCTCTTTGAAGTTGCTCTTTTTTTTTTCTTTCTTTTTCTTTTTTTTATTGTTGGTTGTTCAAAACATTACATAGTTCTTGGTATATCATATTTCACACTTTGATTCAAGTGGGTTATGAACTCCATTTTTACCCCGTATACAGATTGCAGAATCACATCAGTTACACTTCCATTGATTTACATATTGCCATACTAGTGTCTGTTGTATTCTGCTGCCTTTCCTATCCTCTACTATCCCCCCTCCCCTCCCCTCCCCTCCCCTCTTCTCTCTCTACCCCCTCTACTGTAATTCATTTCTCCCCCTTGTATTATTTTTCTCTTTCCCCTCACTTCCTCTTGTATGTAATTTTGTATAACCCTGAGGGTCTCCTTCCATTTCCATGCAATTTCCCTTCTCTCTCCCTTTCCCTCCCACCTCTCATCCCTGTTTAATGTTAGTCTTCTTCTCATGCTCTTCTTCCCTACTCTGTTCTTAGTTACTCTCCTTATATCAAAGAAGACATTTGGCATTTGTTTCTTAGGGATTGGCTAGCTTCACTTAGAATAATCTGCTCTAATGCCATCCATTTCCCTCCAAATTCTATGATTTTGTCAATTTTTTTTAATGCAGAGTAATACTCCATTGTGTGGCTCATTTATTTTAATTCTTGGATGAAAAATAATGTCATTCTTAACCTAAATTCCCCAATAACTTAAGGATAGTAAATACTACCATGATACATCCCCACAGCTCTTCCATTTTTTTTTTTATTCTTTCTTTCTTATTCTTCACTCAATCTTCTGTGGTTAATATCCACCATTTTCAAGACCTCACACTCCAACTGGAGATATAACTCTGTGGTAGAGCATTTGCCTAGCATGGGTAAGGCCATAGGTTGTACTCCCAGCCTCGCCAAAAAAAAAAAAAAAAACTGTTGAGACTTATCAGACACTGCCTAGCCCTATACAAAATAATTCCTTAAAAAGTCTATTCTCAGGCTGGGGTTGTAGCATAGCGATAGAGCGCTTGCCTGGCACATGTGAGGCACTGGGTTCAATCTTCAGCATCACATAAAAATAAATTAATAAAGGTTATTTTACATTTTTTTTAATTCTATTCCCTTGATCTCTAAGTACTGAAAAACAATGATAGTTTAAGAAACTGTACAGTTTGTTATCAGACTTCTAAAAAGAAAAGCTGTGAAGGATACAACTAAAATAACTATCAATTGTGATAAGTCCTGGTTAGAATTACTTTAGGGATCTTAATAAAAATATAAGGTATTTAGCTAAATACTTGCTTTTTGTTTTTTCACTTTTTTGGCTTAAGTAACTATATAAGCAACAGTGCTTTCTATGCATACAGAAGAAACAGCATCCAAGAAAATACACCTAATGGAAAGACATAAGTTAACAATACAGCAAAATATCTCAAAGCACAAAGCTTTGAGATATAAATCAGAAGTAGATGGAGAACATTTCTCTTTTATCATAAATTATATAAAATTATATTTTCCACTGGTACACATAAAGAGTTTTCCCACTATTTTGCAAATGAGAAAGGATGTTAAATGACAATCACAATCACAGACTAGAGTGTCACTATAAAACCATAATTTCAAAACTCAAACTATAAAAATACCAAAACCTTCATGGAGGGGAGGAGGTGGAGACACTGGCACACACCTATAATCCCAGCCATCAGTCTGCTGAGGCAGGAGGATAGCAAGTTCAAGGCCAGTCTTGGCAATTTAATGAGACAGCATCTCAAAACTAAATTTTTTTTTTAAAAATGGGCAGGGTGATGTTCCTCAGGGATAAAAGCACCCCTAGGTTCTATCTCCAGTATCACAAAAAATAAACCAATAAATAAAAGTACAAAGACCTTAGTGTTCAAAAAGAAAACACTATAGAACTCCTAAAATTCAAGAAACATGAGAAACTACACATGCTTTATAAAATACTTTACTCTATACATTAAACACACACACACACACACACACACACACACACACACCAAAACCAGCACTCTTGAGAGAGCAATTTCTTGAAAGATAGTTTAGATTTCTTACATTTCCAGTATGACTATGATGGCCTATTTTTTTTTAAATCATCCCATTCACATATTTTTTAAAACCTCATGACATCATGTTGCTATAAATCTTTTAATACTCGCAAATTTGATAATTACAATTATTATATGTTTGGGATTCTTGAATCAATGGTTGACCTAAAAAACTAATTTTGAATAAATTTCAAAATAAAAAAAGAAAAGAAAAGAAACAATCAGCCCTTGATTTTTACTTCAGGAAAATAAAGTATCACTTGGGAACAAGGATATTTTGGCATAAAAACTTTTCAATAAAAAAAAAAAATCTTTTCAACCAATTAATATTACTAGTATTCCAAAGGTACAAAATGCTAGTTGGCCAAAAATCTTTCCAAAGCCAATGCATACCACTATATATGGACTGGGCAATGATCACGGCAGTCAGGTCAGACTGCACCCATATATAACATGAGAGGCTGAAGAATTTCAGCCAAGCCTTGAAGATTGAAGGTCACATGGAGGGATAGCTCACAGAGCATCAATGATCAATTCCACTACAAGAAGTCTTCTAAATCACATCTATATTTAGAAGACTGGAACCAAAAGACTAACAGTTTAGACTGAAACTCAAGAGTAAAGTCTTCAGGTGGTAGCTTTCCCCATTCTCCATCAACAAATTTTTTTAAGTATTTGTCAAGTCATCTTTCTGAACGTAACAATTTTTTTTAAAGCCCATGTTTAGCCTGTGCTTTGCTTGCACTATATGGAGATGAAATGAAACACACTGCTCAGCACCTTCACGTTTCTGTTGTCCTAGGATAAACAGACATTTCAATATCTCCTCCCATTTCAAGAGTGATTTCCAAAATCTGGGACGGAATGTTTCCACCCACAAATACCTTTCAATTGAATGGCTGTCATACTGCCATGGATAAGGCAACACTGAACAATAATCCATTTTTGCCCATCCCAAATTTATTTTAAATCTCTTACTGCTGACCTAAAAACCTAAGTTCTTCATCATGATTTCCATAATAGGTAGGCCTTACGTCAAGGCAACAATTGAGTAGCGTGGTCTTACTCTTGAAAAAATATTTACCAAAAACCAGGGGAAAAAATCCTGAAAAACTAGTGTTTGATCTTTAATTATAAATATATATAATTTTTTCGTTACAGAGAGTTTACTCATAATTCTCCATAACAATTAAATCATAAAGCACAGCTAAAGATTTTTTTTTAACTTACCCCATTCTAGGTATTCAAGAATGTTCTTCTCTCTTCTCAATGGAGAATTATTGCATTCATCATAAAGGCAGATGAGTATATCCAGTAAGGTCTCCACGCTGAAGCACTGCCCATTGGTCTGAGCCGGCCCATCCAAAATAAATTGCTCCAATTGCCTCAAACGCACTTCTCCGGACATGTTTGCTTCGATTTCTGTTGATTTGCTTYTAAATTGTTATTACAAGTTTGACTATTTACTATTTGAACCTAAATTTTAAAAGGTGTGGTTTCAGAAATAAACCACTTGTTATTCCAATAACTGTCATGCAATGCCGGTGCTGAATTAAACATCCAATACACCAGTAACCTCACTTAACTGAAACGTCTTCAATTACACCCATATACATATATTTGGAGGGTAAGTTATCATAAAATATATTTAATACATTTTAAATGAATAATACAATTAAATCGTATATTTAAATAAAATAATAATTAAACGAACTAGAGTCAACACTTCTTAAAAAAAAAAAAAAAACTCTTCTCCTTCATTCAAAATTCAACTCGTGCAACGTAATCCTGAAACGAATCCGGTTGCATCATTAATGAATAAAGTCCCCCTTTGCATCAGCAATTTACTCCCCGRGAAGAAAGAAAATAGAAAAGGGAGGAAAAAAAACAGAATATATAGAAGGGGGAGGGAAAACCAAAAATTCTGCTGCAAATCCTCCCAACCGCCACTTGGATAATGCATCAGCGACAATTTCTCCAGCGGGAAAGGGAGGGGGCGAGGTCCCTGAAGCAGCTCTCCTCAGCGCCGAGCCAAGTCTTGCCCGGAGGAGGCTTTTCCTTTCTCCTCCCGAGGTCCTTCTTTTTAAGGCTTTGCAGTTAGTCCTATTTCCAASTGATTCCGGCGAAAACTCTTCATTTTTTTCTCCCGGCTTCTCCCAGGGGCCTGACCGGCGGCACGGCCGGGATTAGGAAGGCGGGCTGCGGGCGGCTCTCCCACCCGGGCTCCGGGAGCAGCGGCTACTTGGCCGCCGGAGCCCGCTCCATGTCGGTGGTCGCTCGCGGGCCGGGCCGGGCCGCGCCGCGCCTGGCGGAGAGCCCGGTGTCCCCCGCACCCGGACCGCGGCCGCCGCGCCGGAACCTCCCGATGCCCSTGGGCGAGGGGGGTGCTCTTCTGGATTCAAAGGACACGGACGGCAGCAGCTGCGGCGTCGCGAGCGGCTCCGGCGGCTACTTCTCCCCCTTCTTCACACCCCTGGGTTAAGGGCATCTTTCCTTGGAGAGGAGGGAGGAGGCTAAGGCGCAGGAGGAGGGGTCCGTGCTGCTGGTGTGGAGACCAGAGGCTGCCGCAGCCCGGCTCCCAACCACTCCCTTCCTTTCCCTCCCAGCCTCCCCCGCCTTCCCGCTCCTCTCGCGCTCGCGCCCGGGACTCCGCCAGGCCGCTCCAGTCGGCACCGCACGCAGCSGAGGCTCGCGGACGAGTCCGGATCCAATATGGCGGTCCCCGCCCGCGCCCCCGCGACACACGCGCGCACTCGCCCTCTCCCCGCCCCCGCCGGAGCCCCGCACGCAGCCGGGCGTTGTCCTGCGGCCCAGCAGAGTCGAGGCCCCGGAGGGGGCGCCGGCCGCTGCACAAGCCTGAGGCGCGTGCTGAGGGCCGACTCGGCCCGCGAAGCTACGGCTGCCGCAGTGTGGAATGCAGGGATACGGGAGGACTAGGGGAGGCCCAGGTGGCGGTGGCGGAGGAGGCTATGGAGACAGCATGACCGAGCCGAGCTGTGGAGCTGCGCCACCGCTGCCAYACCACTGGCCCCGGATCCCCGAGGCTTCTCCTACACATCGCAAATCGTCCTGGGAGATGCCACCTGTCTTGCACATTTGCTCAGAAGGTCTAGAAGCAGACGCCTTTCTGCTTCCAACAAGCTCTGGAAAAGACGGTGCCTCTTGACTGCTCCTTACCTGTCCGTCCCTACTCCCGCCCCCCAAATTCGGTTCTTACACAGTCGAGTCATAATTTCTTGGGTGTCTGATTAAAGAATTTATGTCACTTCTCAGGACAAAAACATAACACTTATATGCGCTACCATCCAAGTGATATTTTTGTGCGCGCCCGGGCGCGCAAAAGAGAGAATTTCCCATCTCTATTTTCAAAAGTTTCCCAACGTGGAGCCTGGTGTTTTCTCATCCGGAAATATTCTAGATGCTGCCTGTTTATCCTCAGCCAAGGTTACCGCCTACAGGGCTTTTAGCTAATGAAAGGAGTCAGGACAGTTCATCTCTGTTATCAAACCTATACCCCATTTGCACACACACAGATAAGCACACAAGCACACTTATGATCCAGTGGCTCCACGCAGCAACTGGGGCAGCAAAGGCAGTCACTGAAGAGCTAAATCACCTGATGCCTGTAGGGCCTTTCCAGGTTTTTATGATCTTGGTTTGAAGAGAGCTCTCTACAAAATTCTCATGGAAGATYCCACATTTAAATTAATACCCCTAAATTAGGTCATTATATTTCCATTATTTCCTCTCAAATTTTCCATCTCTATGATCTTTCTCCTAAACACAATTATATTCTATTCCTTTTTCACCCCCATTATCCATGTCAATGCCCACCATGCATCTTTTTATGCCTTGGTATTATGGAAGCCCAAGAAGAAAGAGAAATGAAGATCTAAACATGAGTCCTAAAAGTAAAGGCTAATAGAATTATTCAGTTTGCTGTGATTCACACAATATTGTGAATGTTTTGTGAAATCTACACTTGCCTGACTTAAATAAGGACAGCATTATTTTCAATGTGCTCTTGGCACATGAATATATTTAAATGTTCAGACTAGAAGTCAATCATTTCCAACCATGACATATTTATGTGTATTGTCTAATTATAAAAATAGAAAAGCAAAAAAAGAAAAATTTAATTATAAACTAGATAATAATCAACATTTTGATGTTTATAATTTGTTTTCCTAAAAAATGTTTCATAGTAAAGGACAGTTTTACAGCTTCCAGTTTAGTTACCAATGCATTACAAATGTCTTTGTAGGTAAACAAATATTCTTCAACAACATGATTTTTAATTGTGAAGCCATCACATTTTGACAATTTCAACTGACCATGAGATGCGGTAGTAAAAAAGTAATCAATTCCTTCTTCTGCATTTTCAAATACAATATACTAGTGAGCTGATTCCAAGATACTAATCCAACTTACAAATAACTATCAGGAAATTTAAAAAAGAACCAAAAACATGTTATGTCTCAATAAATACTCATTAACAAGGGAGGTATGAGATGTAGATACTTAGATACTTTCTCTATCTGTCTCTCTCTCATTCTGTGGGTGGGAGAGGGTGCTGGCACCACTAGGGAGGGACAGAACCCAGGGCCTCAGGCATGCCAGGCAAGCACTCTACCACATAGCCACATCCCCAGACCCAGATAAGCTTTTTTTTTTTACAAAAGAGTCGAGCTGCCAGATCTCTCTATTCTATTAGCACTTGGGTACCACACACGGTTCAGGGTATTGAAGTTTATTAAATAACCCTTTCCACATTATTTAGAGAACAAAGGGAAGAATTTATTTTTATTTTTTAAAAAAGCACAAAGAGAAGGAAGAGGTTGAACCCAATCAATTTTGCTTGAATAATTCAAGCTCAGAGACTTAATAATTAGACACTAAACACATTGTGCGGGTGTTATTTTAAATGTTCTAGTTGAAGTGTGAACATGCTTGTTAATGAAACCCGTCTTAAGCCAAAGAAAGGCACAGCCCCAGTGGCCATATAGTGCTTGAAGTTACTCCCACAAAACACAGGAGTGCTACAGGCTGCCTGGCAGGGCATTCTTTGGGCAAAGAACCTGGAGGAGGTCTTCTTTGTGAAATTCTGCTTGGGGACCTACAGATTAAGTGTATACCACTGCAAACATCCAATTTGTTTGAAATAATCAGATAAAGTTTTATGAAGATGAGGGAATTAATCTGACCTTTCAGAAACGAGAGAGAACAGAAAAAAAAGTATAATGGAATAATAAGGCAGGACAGAAGTCAGTAAGCCTAGTCCCCAGTGCAGCCTTTCTTCAAGTAATCCTCCAATTCAAAGCTAAAACTAGGAAAATCTGTTCACCTGTAGTATGTGTAACAACCGGCTCCATTCTCACCTTGATATACCTTACTCCAAAATAAATATAGGTTCAACAATGGAGAGCAGGGCCAAAGCACAATGTTAAGATATAACTGGGCCTCCATATCTGAGGGTTCCACATTGACAGATTCAACCAATCACAGGTTGAAAATATTCAGAAATAAATTGATCTGTACTGAACATGAACTTTGGGGGTGGGGGAGGATAGTATAGGGGATTGAACCAAGGGGCACCTAACCACTGATCCACATATCCATCCCTTTTTTATATTTTATTTAGAGAAAGGATCTCACTAAGTTGATTGGCTTTGAACTCATGATCCTCCTGCCTCAGCCTCCCAAACCACTGGGATTACAGGCATGCACCACCACATCCAACCTGAACATGTACTTTTTTCTTGTCATTGTCACCTAAACAAAATAATATAGCAACTATTTATATATCATTTACATTTTATTAGGCATTAGAAGTAATTTAGAGATGATTTAAAGTATACAGGAGGATGTGCATAGGTTATATGCAAATGTTACACCATTTTATATAAGGGACTTGAGCATCCTCAGATTGTGATAAAGGGCAGGGGTTGGGGGTACAGGGAGCAGAAATCCTGGAACCAATCTCCAGCAGGTAGCAAGAAACAATGTATGGTAGCATTCAGGACATTTTGCTCCATCCCATTTGGTCCTGGCCAGCACATTCTGCCCCTGCAAATGAATCATTCCTTTTAGTACCTTCCAAGGATAAAACAATTAGCAAATGCTAGTGCTCACTTCATTTCAGGCTGCTGACATGAATAATATCAACTGCAAAGACTTACATTATGAAAAAAAGAGACTTTCTAATTAGTAATTGCTTCCTCTACAGAACACAAAATGTTTAAAAAACTGCCTTGAGTAATTTTGAGAACACTATTTTCTTCAATCATCAAAACCATATGAAGTAGGAAAATTATTATCTCCAAATCATACATGAAAGAAGCCGAGGCTTAGTGAGCTTAGATAAGTTGTGAAAGGTTACACAGGTAGCACATGATATAGGAGCTGAAAGTCAGTACTAGCCTGTCTCATGCTAGTGCCCAGGACTTTACCACTAAGCGATGGAGGTCTGGAAGATCTGAGAAATTCTGTAAACCTAACTATTCCTTCTTGTTATAACAAGGAAGAAGTGAGTATAGTTACTAATTCACACATCTGGACATTAGAAATTGGCATTAGGGTAAAAGAAGGAAACATCTGATATCAGGGCTCAACAAAGAAAAGCAGAAATCACCTGTGTATTTAAAGCAGAGGAAACCTAATTCTGCCATATGGTTACACAGATGATGGTAGAGTTGAGGGGACATAGAGTTTGGCAGCATCAGGAAACTGCTACCATCCCTAGGCTGGTGGAAATTAAACCCAAGATTGGTGGAAGTTGAAGCCATAAGAGAGATGCTATGGGTACTAGTAAAGTAGCCCTAGACAAATAGGGGAGGAGAAGCATCTTATCTCAAATGTCCCACCTTTTGCAGCTAACAGAGCCTCTGAATAGTCTGCTTGGGCCATCACTCAAAGATTCAGGGCAGAGCAGACAATGGGTGAGTAATGGCTGTACAGACACACAGTTTTTTGATCTTACAAAAATGATTTTAAGGGGCTAAGGTTGTGGCTTAGCAGTAGAGCCCTGGCCTAGCATGTTCGAGGCTCAGTACCACAAACAAGCAAACAAACAAACAAACAAATAAATAAATAAATAAAGATATTGTATCCAACTACAATTTTAAAAATAATTTTAAAAACTGATAAGGGTCTAGAGGTATAGCTCAGAGGTAGATTGTGTACTTAACATGGTTCAATCTTCAGCACCAAACAAAACACAAAATTTTGATGAAACAAATGTTTTTACTTCTTTTAAAAATATATATATACATTTATGGGGCTGGGGCTGGGGCTCAGTGGTATAGAGCACTTGCCTCTCATGTGTAAGGCCCTGGGTTCGATCCTCAGCACCACATATAAATAAATAAAATAAAGGTATTGTGTCCAACTACAGCTAAAAAAATATTTTTAAAATAATTTTTTAGTTGTCAATGGACCTTTATTTTATTTATTTATATGTGGTGCTGAGAATCGAATCCAGGGCCTCGCATGTGCTAGGCGAGCGCTCTATCACTAAGCCACAACCCCAGCCCGAATGTTTTTACTTCTGAACAACCAGAACACAAAATTTTGAAATGGATTGGCTTTAACATAGGAGCAATTTTTACTCCTTTATGTTTATTTTGGATTTTTTGAGAGGGATCCCTCAATAAGTTAAAAAATAAATAAACAAACCCTCTACATTACAGTAGGATTACTTAGATTCATAAACTAATATTTCCCACTCTTGTCCATGTTATCTTGCCCTGTTTGCCTATC